GCACAAGATCTCCCATCATCATCAGTGCATTTCTGCAAAGACGGAAAAAGGAACCCCCATGAACTGGGCTCCAATTGCAACTACAAATATCCAATTACGAGAGAGAGAGAGAGAGACAGAGAGAGTAGAGAGAGAGAGCGGAGAGAGAGAGACAGAGAGTAGAGAGAGAGAGAGAGAGAGACAGAGACAGCGAGAGACAGAGAGAGAGACAGAGAGAGAGAGAGAGACACAGAGAGAGAGAGAGACAGACAGACAGACAGACAGAGAGAGAGAGAGAGAGAGATTACCCAACAAGTACACCCTACTGTTTCTTTGATCTGGCTCTGGACTGAAATTAAATTAAAGCAGCTGTACCAACTAAGTGGCTATCTTTGGACTACTTGCAGCGACTGAAGCATTCTACCAAACATAACGCTCACAGGATAAAGTCCTTCTAGTGGTCCCTGGACCGAGAAACATCTGGTTAGCCTTGAACAGAGCCAGGCTGGATGCCTTTCAGGAAGAGCCCTCTGGAATATTCTTCCGGCTGAGATCTGGGCCCTGAGGGACCTTTTACAGTTCCTCAGGGCCTGCAAAACAGAGCTGTTCCACCAGGCCCATGGTCGAGGCTTAGGACTAAGAAGAGCAATTCCATCTTAAAGAAGCCATCCTGCTCAAGTGTAATGTTGGGGCAGATGGCTGTTATCCCCCTGGCAAAACCCATAATGCCCTTAAGCCACTGCACAGTTAGGTGGGCTTGAGCCCTGCTAGAGTTCTGTCTCCTCAGTTCTATGCTGGGTATAGGCCTATGTGCGCAGAAGCTCCCACAGTGGACATTGGACTACTTGCAGTGACTGAAGCATTCTACCAAACATAATGCTCACAGGATAAAGTCCTTCTAGTGGTCACTTAGGTCATCCATTCTGGCTAGTTCTAATATTTTGTTTATTAAATCCTCCCTTGTAGGTAAGCCTTCTACCTTCCACTGTCGAGCTATTAGTAATCTGGCAGCTGTTATAACATAACTAATTATACATGAATCCTGATTGTTGTATCCTTTCGGAATCATATTTAACAGATATATTTCCGGTTTTAAAGACACATTTTTACCCAGGCTTTCTTGTAGTATTTCCCTGACCATTCTCCAATATCCTTGCATTTTAGAGCATTTCCACCACATATGATAGAACGTCCCCCTACACATTTTACATTTCCAACACAGATTTGAGTATCCCTTATAACATTTCGCTAATTTGTCGGGTGCCCAGTGCCATCTATGAAACATCTTAAACACATTTTCTTTATAAGCTACTGCTCTCATAGATTTAGCCGTTTTCCACATATTCGCCCAATTCTCCTCTTCTATTTCCCCTATGTCTTTCATCCAAGTGGTCATTACAGATTTGATTTCTTCGTCCTGTTGAAAATCATTTAGTAACAGCCTATACAGTTTCTGGACTAGTTTATCATTTGAGGACAGCCATATTTTATCCAATTCATTATTTTGGTCCTCAAAACCTCTTATCATGTCTTTCTTATATCTGTCACGTAAAGTTATCTGTTCCCACCATGATAGATTGTTTTCCTGTCTTAATTTTTCTTCTGTTTTCAGCTCGTTCTTTTTATTTAATAATGTTTGGTAGCTTACTTTTAAGTTCGTAGTTATTACTGATGGTATGATAAATGCTTCTAATGGGGCAACCCATCTTGGAGTTTTTCTATACCAAATCGTTTTTACCTTAGTCCATATTTTATCTAGCGATCCTCTTAATGTGTGTCTAACAAAGTTTGAGTGGATTTTATCTTTCCCATACCATACATAAGCGTGCCAGCCCATCACAAGATCGTGTCCTTCTAGTGCTAGCAGTCTCTTATTTTCCAAACTTATCCATTCCTTTATCCATACTAGGGCTGCCGCTTGATAATAGATGTACCAGTTGGGAACACTCATGCCTCCTCTCTCCTTCTTATCCTGTAACACCTTCCATTTTATTCTAGATTTCTTATGCTGCCATATAAATTGTCTGGTAGCTTTATCTAGATCTTCAAAAAAGTTTTGTTTTTTCAGCACTGGTATACTTTGTGCTAAAAACAGAAATCTTGGTAGTACATTCATCTTGACCAACGCTATTCTACCCATAAACGATAACGGGATATCATTCCATTTATGGAGATCTTGTCTAATCTCCTTCAATAGTTTCATGTAGTTTTCTTCTACCAAAGAGTTACATTTATTTGTCATATTAATTCCCAGATATTTTACCTTTTTAACTATTTCCATTTTAGTCAATTCTTGAATTTTTTCTGTTGTATTTTGAAAGCAATTCTTTACTATAATTTTGGATTTTTTATAATTAATTTTTAGTCCCGCAACCTGACCATAATTTTGTATTGTTGTCATCAGTTCACCTATCGAGGTTTTGGGGTTTCCTAATATGAACACCAGATCATCAGCAAATGCCTGCAGCTTAAATTCCTCTCCTTTCACCTTCAGGCCCTCTATTTGCTTATTTCGTCTTATATCCTCGTTAAGTGATTCTATTGCATATACAAAAAGTAATGGAGACAGCGGGCATCCCTGCCTGGTTCCCTTCTGGATCTCTATCATTTCGGTTACATCTCCATTTATTATTATTTTTGCATATTGTTGTTTATATATAGTTTTAACTGTATTGTAGAATTCTTGGCCAGGGTCTGCAAAGTCTAATTTTTGTAATAGAAAATCCCATGACAAATTATCGAACGCTTTTTCCGCGTCCAAAAACATCAACATTAATTCTTTTTCTGGGTGTTCTTCGTAATATTCTAAGACATTCATAATTACCCTCATATTGTTTCTCATTTGTCTTTTAGGTAGAAACCCTGTTTGGTCTTGATGAATAGTCTGTGTCAAAACTTTTTTTAATCTTCTTGCTAGAATTGATGCAAAGATTTTATAATCAGAGTTAAGAAGTGATATGGGCCTATAATTTTTGATATCACTCGCTTCTGTATTTGGCTTCTGTATTAGTGTAATTAGGGCGTGGTTCCAAGATTCTGGTATCTTGCTATTTTTGCCCACTCCTTGACAGAGTTCTTTAAAAGGTGTCCATAACTGTTCTTCAAAAGCCTGGTAGAATTCTGCCGGTATTCCATCTGGACCTGGTGTTTTTTTCCTTTTCTGTTTTTTAATGGCCTCCATGATTTCATTCATAGTTATTGGATCGCTCAGCATTTTCTTCTGTTGAGCATTAAATTTTTGTGTTCTATTTCTAAGATATTCTGCAATTTCATCTCTTCTTTGTACATCATGTTGGTAGAGTCCCTTATAGAATTTTTCTACTATCCTCTTTAAATCTTGTATATTAAACTTTTCCTCATTGTTACCATTTCTTAGTTTAATTATGGTACGTTTCTGTCTTTCTTTCTTAACCTTGTACGCTAGCCATCTGTTCGGTTTATTTATGTTTTCAAAATAATATTGTTTAGTATATTCTATTTTTTTCCTCTATTTCATAATTTAACAAATTGTTTAAGTTGTGGTGTAAAAGATTTAGTTTAACTCTCGCACTTCCATCTTCTCTTGCTCTTTTCACTATGTTTTCTTGTTGTTTTATGTGTGTGACTAGTTGATCATATTTCTCTTTCTTCTGTTTACATTTCCAAGCATTATAGTTGATAAAACGTCCTCTTATATACGCCTTAAAGGCATCCCAAATAATTTCTGGTGAGGTTTCTGTCGGTAAGTTTATCTGAAAGAATTCTATAATTTCTTTTTTACATCTTTGTACGAAGTCCAAGTCTCGAAGTAAAGTTATGTTTATGGAGATCCTGCTTTTCTTTTGGTCTTCTCTTAGTGATACGGATATTGGATTGTGATCCGCAAATGTTTTTGGTAGTATTTCGCATTCTGTCACTTCCCTGATCATGTTTGTTGGCATCCATATCATATCGATTCTTGACCAGGAATCGTGACGTGGAGAGTAGTACGTGAAATCTGTTTTATTTATATTTCTCACTCTCCATACGTCCATTAAATTATATTCTTCTACTATCTGTGCAAAACTATTTGGCAGAATTCCTCCCGCCCTATGATCTTTCTTGGAATTTTTTCTATCTATTGCTGTATCCGCCACCAAGTTGAAATCTCCCAAAATACATATATCTTCGGATTCTGTTAGTCTTAACACGTTTTGGACTTCTTTAAAGAATTCCCCTTGTTTTTGGTTGGGTGCGTATATATTAAGTATCAGCATTCTTCTCCCCCTTCTTGTAATTGTGATCGCCACTATTCTGCCGTCTTTTGAATTAAATATCAGTTCTGGGTTTAATTTCTCTTTCACATATATTGCGACCCCTCTTTTTTTTTCTTCTGCAGAAGATACAAATACTTTCCCTAACTTTTTACATTCTAAATATTTCACCTCTTCTTTTTTTATATGTGTCTCTTGCAAGCAGATTATTTCAGCCTTTATTTTTCTGAGTTGGTGAAATGTCTTTCTTCTCTTTTGTGCACTGTTCAATCCATTGATGTTGATAGACAGTATATCACAGGTTTTAAAGATTGTCATATTTCTACTTAATATTTCTTCCCTTTTGCTCTGTAGTTGTACCTAGTTTGCACGTGGTAGGTAGATTTATTAACTTTGTATTTATTCTTTGCTTTAGCCTTTTTCTCTTTTTCTTTCTCTCTTTCCTCTCTTTCTTCCTCCTCTTTCTCTACTTCTTCTTCTTCTGTTTCCACCTCTTTCTCTTCCCTTTCTTCCTCATCTTCCTGCGATTCTTCCGTTTGCAGACCTAGATCTTCACCATATTTTTCCAGAAAATATTTTACTTTGAAGACCGAATCTATTCTGTGTCTTTGCCCTTTAAGAGTAAAAAGAACCCCTTCCGGTATTAGCCATTTAAAGATAATTTTGTTCTCTTTCAATAGGTTGGTTAATGTGGTGTAGGGCATTCTTCTCTCTCTCACCCGCCAC